AAAACCAGTCCAAACCAGTACAAACCAGTACAAAACCAGTCCAAACCAGTAGCAAACCCATCCCCTAGGATGGATTTACTCACACTCCGAACCCTCCCAGCCCCTCCCAGTCCCTCCCGGTGCCTCCCAGCCCTGATTTCCGGCCTCCCCGCCCCCTCCCGGCCCCGAACCAGTCCAAACCAGTCCAAACCAGTATAAACCAGTATAAACCGGTCTAAACCAGTACGGACCAGACGGAGTCGGTGTTGAGGCGCTCCAGGGGCTTCATGTTCTCGTCGAAGTAGATGTCGGTGGTCAGGGAGACGTCGGTGTCGTGGGCCGAGTTGTAGTTGGTCACCGTGCGGGTGGGGAGGCCCAGGCAGCGCAGCACTGACCAGTACAAACCAGTACAAACCAGTAAGGACCAGTATAAACCACTGTAGACCAGTATAAACCGCTATGGACCAGTATAAACCAGTATGGACTGGTATGGACCGGTAGGTTGCCCCAGACCTCTCCCAGTTCAACCCAGTCCCTGCCTAAGGCCCCACCAGTATAGACCAGAATAAACCAGTATAGACCAGTATAAACCAGTACAAACCAGTAAGGACCAGTATAAACCACTCTAGACCAGTATAAACCACTATGGACCAGTATAAACCGCTATGGGCTGGTATGGACCGGTAGGTTGCCCCAGACCTCTCCCAGTTCAACCCGGTCCCTGCCTAAGGCCCCACCAGTATAAACCAGTATGGACCAGTAGAGACCAGTAGGAACCAGTATAGACCAGTAGGAACCAGTAGGAACCAGTATAGACCAGTATAAACCACTAGGAACCAGCATAGAGCAGTATGGACCAGTATGGACCTGTATGGGCCAGTATAGACCAATACGGACCAGTATAAACCAGTACAGACCAGTAGGAACCAATAGGAACCAGTATAAACCAGTATAGACCAGTAGGAACCAGTATAAACCAGTATAGACCAGTAGGAACCAGTAGGAACCAGTATAGAGCAGTATGGACCAGTATGGACCTGTATGGACCAGTATAGACCAATACAGACCAGTATAAACCAGTATAAACCAGTATAAACCAGTAGGAACCAGTATAGACCAGTATAAACCAGTACAGACCAGTGGTCATGACGCCGGCGAAGACCCAGCACTGGCCGTATCTGACGGGGGCTCCCAACCCAGTCCCTCCCAGTCCAACCCAGTCCCTCCCACTATAAACCAGTATAACCCAGTATAAACCAGTAGCAAGAAAACCACACTCTAGGATGGGTTTCCTCTCACTTTAGACCCTCCCAGTAACTCCCAGTCCCCTCCCAGTCCATCCCAGTCCCCTCCCTGTCCCCTCCCAGTCCCTCCCAGTCCCTCCCAATCCCCTCCCAGTCCCTCCCAGTATAAACCAGTATAAACCAGTATAAACCAGTCCGCACCGGTGGTCATGACTCCCGCGAAGACCCAGCACTGGCCATATCTGACGGGGGCCCCGGAGGTGCCTGAGTGACCCCAAACCAGTCCCTCCCCGTCCAAACCAGTATAAACCAGTATAAACCAGTATAAACCAGTATAAACCAGTACAGACCGGTGGTCATGACTCCCGCGAAGACCCAGCACTGGCCGTACCGGACGGGGGCCCCGGAGGCGCCCGAGTGACCCCAACCCAGTCCAAACCAGTCCAAACCAGTCCAAACCCATCCAAACCAGTATAAACCAGTATAACCCAGTATAAACCAGTATAAACCAGTACAGACCGGTGGTCATGACTCCCGCAAAGACCCAGCACTGGCCGTACCGGACGGGGGCCCCGGAGGCACCCGGGTGACCCCAACCCAGTCCAAACCAGTCCAAACCAGTCCAAACCCATCCAAACCATTATAACCCAGTCCAAACCAGTATAAACCAGTATAAACCAGTACAGACCGGTGGTCATGACTCCGGCGAAGACCCAGCACTGGCCGTACCGGATGGGGGCCCCGGAGGCGCCCGAGTGACCCCAACCCAGTCCAAACCAGTCCAAACCAGTCCCTCCCAGTCCAAACCAGTATAACCCAGTATAACCCAGTATAAACCAGTATAAACCAGTCCGTACCAGTGGTCATGATGCCGGCGAAGACCCAGCACTGGCCGTACCGGACGGGGTCCCCGGAGGCGCCCGAGTGACCCCAACCCAGTCCAAACCAGTCCAAACCAGTCCAAACCAGCCCAAACCAGTATAAACCAGTATAACCCAGTATAAACCAGTATAAACCAGTCCGTACCAGTGGTCATGACTCCGGCGAAGACCCAGCACTGGCCGTACCGGACGGGGGCCCCGGAGGCGCCCGAGTGACCCCAACCCAGTCCAAACCAGTCCAAACCAGTCCAAACCAGTCCAAACCAGTATAAACCAGTATAACCCAGTATAAACCAGTATAAACCAGT